ACACTAGGATAATACTTTTTAAAAATAAGGCTGTTGTAAATGTCAATCATTTGGCTACTGTAAACATAATACCCTCTGTTATTAAGACGCTTTGGGTGGAACTGAAACAGACAAAAGGCCAGGGTTGTGAATTTCATAGTACATAAAATAGCCTCCAGAAGGCGCTTTGTATACAAACGCAGCCGTCACAGGGATATTTCATTGCTGCACTGAGCCGAACTATTTATCTTTCTAACATCTTATTTACACGCAGATGAACTGTAAATTGCCCTCAATATTGTGTGGACTTAAATACAAATGGCCGCGCATTACTGTACACAATCCACGTGAAAATAAAATCCACTCAACCACGCCCGAGAGCCCACAAAACACAACGACCCACGTACGCAGCTAAAAATCAAAACAAAAAAAACCGCCCGCGCGTCCCCCCGTTGGGTTTTATAAAGATTTCACCATCTTCTGGCGTGATTAATGCGCGCGCGAGGCCGTGAGTAGATGCCTGCGTATTAAAAGTGAAATCTCGCTCTCATTCCGCTCAGCCATCCGTGAAACGTCGCCCAAACCCATTACACTCGGAGGGGGGAAAGAAAATGCAATTTCTCATTCCATTAAAAAAGTACAATATATTCTTGAGTCCTATTAAGACGTCGCTGATAGAGCATTTTGAAGAGGAGAGGCCGTGGAGGCACGCACGCGGGCCAACACGCCCACCGAAGGCTGCACCTGCACGACCTGCACGACCTGCACTAATGTTTACCAACAGCGAGCAGGAGGCGACCTGCACTGAGCGGCTAGGAGCCTGCACCGCATAGAATAAAGAATTGATTATTAAGGTGACTAATGGTTATGCTGGGTTTATTGCTTTCAGTGGGATCATTTGCATGAATTTCACATCACTGGTTAATAACCCGTTCACTGTAATAAATAAGACTGAAATTGGTTGATAATGTGTTTGGTTTATTAGAGCCTTGTTCCTGCATGCTTGTTAGAAGCACTGCATGTTTCAATTGTTTTTAAAGTGGTTTATGTTTCTAAAATAATACAAACTAAATAAATAAAGTTTGCATTTAAAAATAAAATAAATCAATTTCATCCCTATAACCCAAGTAAAACAAAAAATGGGCCATACATTACAACCCTATTTATTTTCTAAAAGAAAAGGGGAAGACTATTCTGTGAAAGAAAGTATTTAAAGATCTTCTCTATAATATATTGGGCATTATTTTGGCCAGGGTAACTCCCATTTGTAATGGTAAAACAAATATAAAGAAAAATCATTGCCAAAGCCTAAATACCACTAATGTAATTTTATGCAATATATGCAGGTTCACAGAAACAAAAAGGAAACGAAAATTAGGCAAATTTAACTAAATAAATAAATAACTTTCCCCTCCCAATTTCAACACAGTCAACACAAGTGGCAAATATTTAAGAGCCATCTGGACATTTTTGACTTTATGGGCACCGGAATTCTGCTCGTTATCTGCAAGTGAGAAATATTTCAGCACCTTGGACAGAGCCACTCGCATATTAGATAGGGCACAGCTTCTTAGAATGACATATAGCTCGCCTTTTGAACACATCATGGCATATTTGAATCACATAATTAAAGCAAAATATGCTTGAGCTTGTATTTTCTAAAACAACTTTCATTTGAACACAACGAACAGAGTGAGAATGTGTTCTCCCTTCAAATAACACAGTGTTTCTTTCATTTGAGTATACAGGATATAGTGCTGAACCTAAACAAGAAAATATTTCTAAATTACTGTAAGTTATATGTAATGTAACTTCCATTGCACCAGTGGCGCCAATCCACCCTTTAGCTTTTATTTTCAAGCATTTGCACTCAAAACTTTACACCAAATATCCCAAAAAATGAATGAATGAATGGCAAAAGGACCAGTGACAAATAACTGAACTATGGGACATTTTAGAAGTGACCTAACTATCTAGCTACAAGCGCGCGGAGGGAGCGTTGGTCTTGATTCCTCTACTCTCCACCCTACTTTGCTCATTGCTTTTCGGATGGATTTAAAAGGACGATTTTGGACATTTGTATCGTATTGAAAAAAAACCCACAGAATCCAAATCTGGACCCAAAGCCGCACCCTGCTATAGACCACGCGAGTGTGTGTCCTGTAAAAATCCACATTGCGCAAGTGCTTTACCTGAACTCTGGACTCAGTGAGGCCGATCCTCAGCGCCAGCTCCTCCCTCATGAAGATGTCAGGGTAGTGGGTTTTGGCGAAGCTGCGCTCCAGCTCGTTGAGCTGCGCCGGCGTAAAGCGCGTCCTGTGCCGCTTCTGTTTCTGGCTGGCGGACTGACTGGAGCTCTGCTGCGGCTGCTGCTGCTGCTTCTCCTGCTCCTTCCCGTTCACCGTCATGCCGGCGGAGTTGGATCCCACGGTGGCGATGTCTTCCCCCGGCAGGAGGGTGGTTCCCTCCACGGAGTCCGAACCAGGGGCCATGTCTCCCGGGTGCCCCTGGTCTGGCACCCCACCACCCAGCCGGCACTTGAGAGCCTCTCGGTGTCCGAGTAACTCTGCAGCATCCTTCATCCCTGAGACGATGAGGAAGAGAGAGGCTTTGAGTAAATACATACAGTCACATTAAAAAAGGCAACAGACGTATATCAATTCAAAGAATACAACAAATAAACACAATGTAGCTTAGGTCGTAATTTTAAATCGTATTTTTTTTCCTTTGCTGTCAGATCATATACTCATTCCTGATAAATTACTGTAAAGAATTGCATACACCAACGATAAAGCATTTAGCTGTTAACACAATTAACTACACAGTCTATCTATCACATCACAAGGTTGAAAAAGAAGTTGGAAATCTTACACTGGAGTTTAGGGCCGGAGTTTAGTGAGGATAACTCACCGAGCCGAGCATCCAGGAGGTCGGCATGAGAGAGCATCGCGTACCGCTCCAGGGTGAAATGCGCTCCAAAAAATCCCACAACTTTGGGGCAATTTAAAAAGTATATATCGTCTAAATGAACGAAAATTCGGTTTGTGGTTAAAAAAGGAGGTCCCTTGCATTATAATGTCCTTTAGAGCGACGGGGAGGCGCTTATTAGTTGAAAGAACCCGTGAGCTTCCTCAAATAAGAGCCAATCAGAGCGGGAGCTTCGAAATGTCAGCGACGTGACTCCCCCCTCTTTTTTTTATTTTTTTTATTCTTTTTATACACACAGACCCAAGAAGGCACGCGCGCACAAACCCGAACGCGCACGAAACACTACAATTTATTTCAATCCTCTGCCATTCCCGTGCTCTGATTTATTAGCTTTTCATGCTCAACTTATTCCACGTTCGACATCTTAATGTGTTTGTTTAATCTCATATAGTTTGTGCAATGACGGGACTCCTGTTTGTGGACATACATGTAAGGTGAGCTCATGCAAAACCTGGTTTGCTTTTGCTCCAGGAGACAAGATCGCCCGGCTATTTGAGAGAGAAAAGGTGTTTTTATTGAATAATTAACTGTCAAATGACTGCTATGTTAACTAGCCTGTTAACAGACAGTAACCCAGAAAGGGAGGAGTCACTTCCCAAATTAACGAAAATAAATCTATAAATCAAAACAAATTTCCAGCTGATTACTCTTTGTATCTTCATATGAAATACAGTTGTATATTGCCATGTATGTCAGTTTGAGTGCATTCTGTACAGATGAGTGTGGACTTTAGTCATGAAAAGAAAAGAAATTGTGGGAGATGAGAAGTCTTGTAACGCCAGGCCTGCTTCCAGAGCCCCACTTCCCTCCCGTCCTTGGATCACAAACAAAACGAATATCGCCCCCATTCCCCCATGGCAGGTGATTTGTGGAGACAAATCGAGGAAATAAATAAATAAACGAGTACAGATGGATTTAAGCTCCGTTAGTGATCGGCCGCTTTAACTCCCATCGACTTTTCATCAACGCGGGCGCAATTAGAGGTATTTAGGCCTGTTTGGTTCAAACAAAATCAGACGTGGTGGACCCTAAACGATTGTGCCCCTTTAGCAGTGGTCCATGAGTACGTCTATTATACAATTAACAGGACAGCCATTGATCTGCGCTCCACTCCTACTTCTCCAGACAGTGCTGGTACACAGAGGGCTTTTGGCAGATGTCAGGGTGAGCCTTGTGAATGGACCACCGCCTGGGACTAAATAGGTTTCTTTGCAGCCGCACAAAGGAGGCGTCCGAGCGAGTAGTCCTCCCTCTCCTCCCGCACCACATACGCAACTCATCTGTTATGCTCCTCGACCGCAATGTGCGCCCGGGACGCAGGGAAGTATGTGTGGCACAGCGTGAAAACTTAAGGAAAACGGGACTTGTGCATGGTCCACTGAGATGAGGAAAGCTGTGACCAGCTCCCGAAGGTTCAGGAGAAGCAATCATCATCATCAGCAGCAGCAGCAGCACCAGCAGCAGAGGCTCGATTCGTTTGATTCAGACGTGTAGACCCGCTGAGAGGAGAGGACTATGCGTGTGTGGGGAGTTGTAAGGCCAACCCTGCGTTTGTGAAGGGCTTGAGCCGGGAGAGACGGTCTGTATGCTCTGGAAGCCGTTTGATTTCCAATTTAGTGCAAGACAATTGATGTAATGCAAACAAATAACAAATAAAACCTAATGGTCGAAATTAACTCATGAAGGTCAGAGATTATCTTTAATTTTTGTTAAAATATTTGCACTGTGGATAAATAATGAAACAGGTGTGGTGTTATTGTGTGCATAACGAAATAAGTGAACGTAATAATACATTGTATTAATTTAATTCTAATTCAGGATTATTTGAGGCCATTATTCAATTTATTATCTGGGTCTAATTTTTAATATAATTGTTGTTATTATTATTATTATTATTATTAAAATTGTGTTCATAAGTAGCAATCTTTCTCTATGTCGTGTTTTAGTTCTATAGAAAAAAATAAGAGAAATTATCATACATATATTGATTTAGCAACAATAATATATGATCAAATATTATTGAATTGTTTTCTTTAAAGTATCATTAGCTATGCCTTTAAAAAAAGACAATGCTTAATTCAAAATCATTTAAATGGACGTCCTGTTTATATAAAATGAGGCACGTGTAAAAAATAAAAAGGTTGCAGTTATTGTTGACTACTCATCTGATCCCTAGGTGATAATAAATATCGATATTGTGGTTTGTTGGAGGGAAAACAGCCCGGATAGCAGACATCCCCTCAGCTGTCCGACCCTCAGACTGTAACTTATTGCTGTAATAAGAGGAACCCACTTGAAATGGGTCTATGTCTCACTCAGCCTCCCTAACTGGACCGCATCAATCTTCCCCCAGTAAAAACACACTCGCATACAATCCTCCCGGGTTAATGCGGCGCATCTGAGTGCGGAACGGCTGTTTACACGCGAGGAGACACTTTTAATGGAAGCGCACCAAAAACAAATGCAATTTTGTAGAGCAATTTCAAAGATCAAGAATTCCGTGTCCACCCTCTCCGCGGATTTTTGTTTTTGTTTTTTTAAGCAATCAAACTGCGTTAAATCCATTGCTCATATGGCCCTTTGTAGAACAGGTTACGAATAATGCAGGTAACAGGAGACAGATGCAGGGATAAGATCCTTTACACCACAACCAAAGTGTGAACACGGAGCCGCAGGCGAGCTGGCCGTTTCTCGTGGTCAGGCCTATATATTGCATCGCCTCGTGGCCATCTGCATTCAATCACTTATAGAAATCTGAAAAGGAAAATCGATATTTTCCATCGGCGGAAACGGCTCTCTAACACATCACACTGTAACTTTGTGCAGGCGATTCGATGACAGTTGGAGGGATAAGAACCAGGCCAAATAAATGTGTCGCATCCGAGCACCGAGATATGCAGAGAGAGGCGAGAACGGGGGGGCACAGACCGGAAAACCCATTAGAGGCTCCCCTCTTCGGCCACCCGGCCAGTCCGCAACACCCCGCGCATCTCATGCCCCAATTAGGCCCTCTGCCCTCCGCCTGCTCCCCGTTACTGCGTGATCTGGCGGACAGAGCGGTAATCACGGCTTCAAATAAAATAATCAGCGAAGAAGAGCGATTTCCTTAATGAGGAAGAAGAGGCATGTGTCACGGAGGGCGCGGTGTGGGCGTGCGCGTGTGCCTTGGTGGTGGTTGGGGGGGTAAATAGCAATGAAAGTCTCAATATAGGTGTTAACAGTGGTGTTCAGAGTCTCCTTGCCTGCTGTTAGTTGACCTCATGCTCAGGTGGTCTATGTTTGGTGAGGAGAAACATTCAGTGTGGATACAGGTCACAGTTAAAGGCACATGTGGTTCATCAACATTAGGTTCAGCAACTCATGCCAGTCAAAATCAAACATACAAGGTGGAAGGTTTCAACATGTCTCCAAGGAAAAGTTCATTACACCGCATTTTGTTGCTCTTATACATGTGCTGTGCATTTTAGAGGCAAAATCAGGAGAACGTTTTTTTTCTACGTGAAGTCAACAAGGCCTCCAAAAGACTCAACTGTTAAGTTCACCACCACCAGCTCCTTGCAGCCTCAAATAAAAACTCAACATAACCACAACATTCCTGGTTCCTTGTACAGGTGAATGCAGAGGGCTCTATAGGGCTTAATACAACTGTGTCATGATTTAATGACTAATAGCTGATTCTCCACAAAAGGGACATAAATATTGACTATTCAGCAAAAACTCTCTTAGACGATTAAGAGACTTTATCGCCCGATTAGTCACCTAATTGGTGGCGGTCCTAAACATCACACACTGCCATTAAAAGTCCCAATAAGAAAAAAACAGTGGGACTGCTGATGCTGATGGTTAAAATGCACATATACAATCACGATTTATACACCCAAATCATAGATGTTAAGTTATATCACTGAAACTCAAAGGACCTGCCAATACATGGTGCCAAAAACCCAATTTTGGGTATTTTCCCAATTGTAGTTTTAGTGACACATTTCTGCACCCCTTAAAATAAATTAAAATGCTTTCAATGTGTTGTGATCAATTTAAAATCAAAGGGGTGTCCACACTGAGTTTTCAATGCAAAAAACTGCACATCTCGGAAATGCAGCAACAAACAATCTTGTATGAAATCTGTTTTAACAGCTTATTGCCTGAGAGTATCTGAGGTTTGTGATACAATTCTGATAAAAGCTTGCTACTTGATCATGAGTGCTGTGTGTTTCTTATTTATGGCAGCAGTGTAAAGCAGCCCTGCTTGACTGTGCTTTTTGTCAGTGTTTTCATCTAATTTCCGGGCATATATTTAACTTAATCACATTTTAAACAGAAGCAAAACTTAACTAACAAGGTTAGAGTATTTAGCCTGTAATCTATTGTATTTACAGTCTGACCTCGGTCATTTAGGCCTCCTACAGCTGCCCACAGATCTAATTCCTTCTCCTCCCCGACACCTTGACTTTCCCTCCAGTTCTGCTCCACCTATTAGAATATGTTCTTTCTTAAGTCCGGTCATTAGTTGGGTCCATTACTGTGGCTCCATCATTAGGGAAGCTGTAATGCACCATTGAAGGTAATGAGTGCCTTACATTACAGGTGCCAGCCTCAGACACACTGAATGAGGCCCTTTTCCCCACAATGCAGCCTGAAAACAACTCCACTTTTACTCATATTTGAACCACATAACTGTCAGAGTGAGGGCATACCGAGGCCTCACCAAAGATCTGATGTAATATTTAAAGCATTAACCAGGGAGAGACCTTTTGTGAGAATGTAGATGATCAAGTAAAACGTCCCACCACTGCTGATTTAATCGTTTTAAATGGTGAGAATAACGTGTGGTTACTCTTGTGGCAAACGGAGATGCGTGTATCCTCGCACACATACCTCCTGCGCACACTTGTGCTCCTAAAATACCAGATAAAAGGGGAGGACTTGGGTCAGTAGTGTCTCTGAGTAGCTTGAAATTAGAAACATGTGCTGATAATTATCAAACTGCAGCAAAGCCACCTCGTGCAATTTAATGCCTCAGCAAATTAAAGAATAAATGGGATCAGTCTCTCTGACCTTGCTCACTCCGACTTGCCG